ACGCGTAGCTGCCTCTGGCTCATTTTGGTTTTGTATTTCAAAGCCATTACTTATAATTACTTGTTTATATTCTTGGGTAGTTATGGAATTTTCAAGTAGGTCTATATTCATGTCCCCTATGATTATACATTTTTTTCTAATTTTGTGACTTCCTCTGAGGCCACCCTATATGAGACAATTCTCTGATTTTGGTTAACACAACGCCTGTTTTTGTATGTTCTATAAATAATTTCAATTTATCTTCTGATATAGGTAAATTGTTACTTATGCTTCGGACATGTAGAATAATATCTTCGTTCAAATCATCCGGTACGTTTTCGTGAATGGGCGCCCGTGATAACGTGTCTGGTATACACAAATATTCACCAGGTACATAGTTCACTATAAAGTCGAAATTTTGCAGTCTAATCATCCTTTGTAGCCGAAGGGGTATTGAAGCCAATGGTTTTTCAAAAATATTTTCTAGCGGTTAATGACCACTCTCAACAAAAAAATTGATTACCATACAGAAACTGAGCAAACTTTTGGCAGCCATACACTATGGCTAGCAAACTATTTTTCAATTTGTGTGTAATTACGCTCTGCCAATGTTAACTGTCGAGATGCAAAAGCTACTGGTTGGTTTTCTTGTAGAGCAACCGCACCTAACCCATTCTGAGAAGCATCTACTGATAGCGTTACTGGCTTACTCACATAAAAAAATCTAAGTACCGGCGCTTTCGTTATAGTTTCTTTTAACATTTGAAACCGTTTCTCATGTATGCCATACCATACAAACTTGTCATTTGATTTCAGCAAATCCCGGAGTGGCCTGGCTGTCTCCGAATAGTTTGGTATAAATTTTGCAAGAAACGTTACCATCCCTTAAAATCGTTCGAGTTCTTTTTTATTTTTAGGGGACGGAATCCCATTGATAGCTTCAATTCTGTTCACATCTACATGAATTCCTCTTTTAGAAAAAACATGCCCCAGATATGGGACTTCTATTAACCTCAACTGACACTTTTCTTTGAAGCGAATGCCATGTTGTCGTGCTTTTTGTAACACTGCTATAGCCGCATATATCATGTTCAGATTTATTTCTGCCCCAAATTAAAACGTCGTCCAAATAATTTTCTACTCCTTCTAATTCGAACATTTTTTTGAGAGTTTGTTGAAATTTCTCTGCTGAGCAATTGAGCCCAAATGGCAGACGTCGAAAAGCATAGCGACCAAAAGGTGTGGAGAAAGTGCATAATTTAATACTTTCCTCATTTAATTCAATCATGTGAAAACCCGATTTTGCATCCTATACTGAAAAATACTTTGTCCCGTGAAGTTTAGCTGCAATTGTTTCAACCGTAGGTATTTGATAATGTGGTCTCCTGATTGCTTTATTTGAATGCAATGGATCCAAACAGATTCTCAGTGAATCATCTTTCTTTTTGACCAATACTTGTGACAAAATCCATTCCGTGGGCTCTCCCACTCTGCAGATAACGCCGAGACTAATCAGACGATTTAGTTCTATTTTGAGTTTATTCAACATTCCAAATGGTGTTTTACGCGGAGGGTTAACAACAGGAGTTACCGACGGATCAATGTTAATGTGATATTTGCCTGAAATACAACAAAGGCCTTCAAACAAATCAGCAAAATCGTCAACTATCCTACTCATCTCTCTTTCTACTGAACATATTCGCTTGAGAAGACCTAATTTAACACAATCATCCTTTTTGAGTAATGGTGAACAGTATAAATACGAAAATTTTATAAGGTTTCTCATTGCAGATGCAATTTAACCAACATGTTCCGATAACATCTAAAGCTGAGCCATCCACTTTCCTCAGAGGCCTATGCAATATTTTATTGTCAAGTCCTAACTTCATGAATGTATCAATTGACATCACATTAGCTTCGGCTCCGCCACTCTAAACAATCTTTCACGTAGTTTAAAATGAGTTATTCCACAAATAATTTGAGTCATCAATAAGCTGTCTAGCAGATCGCCAAACTCGCAGCTTGTGCTTCTTAGTTATCAAACGACTGTCCATTTTCTTTTTTGCTTTGGAAGAACTTATAGCGTTCATAATTGATGTTTTATCTTGGCGAGCAAAATTCCGTGGATGTCTGAAATAGTATCGACAGTTTATTTCTGTCTGCCTCGGGAATACTGAATTGATTGTACAAATCTCGCCCGTATTGACCTATAGTATGCAAAAACAAGGCACACTTGAGCTTATCGTCCGATTTGTTTTTACCGGTAGCCATCAGATAAATTTCAAAATTCTGCTTCCACTTAATCCAATTATCAGCTAAGCATCCGTCTCCAAGAAGTGGTTCTGGTTGCGAAAGGGATGTCATGTTTCACAATGATACACAAATACAAATACTGTACACACACTGCTAGACACTTGACATCATGTTACGGTTTAGGTTAGGTATGTTTAGCAGCAACTTCTTTCATTGCATTCCTAGGTCTTGTTCTTTGAATAACGGTGGAAAGGGTAACTTGACTGTAGATTAACCAATTAGAACCCAGCAAACATATATCACGCGGGCCTTTAGACGCCCTCGAAAAACTGCCGACAGAAAACATCATCAGGCCACAATCATGATACATCGTCGGCCCGGCTAGCCCGTGTCGCACCGGTCGCTAGTAGGCCGCCAGACTATCTGCCGATACGATTCGGTGAGAAATAAAAAGAAAGAGTCGGAAGTCGGTCTCGAACCAGCGTTTAAACGGAGAACATAGTAATCAGGCGCTTATTCCACTAGGCTACTATACGGTACTTGAAAGATTGATTATGAACTCATAAGTAAACAAAATTGAAATAGTACAAGGCTTTAATTATATTTTACCACAAAAATAAGTTGGTGTAGACAACGAGAATGATTGTTATATTCAACATATAATTATTCTTGATGTCAAACGATACTTTGCTGGAATCAACCATAAAAAATGCATAAGGATTCTGGAGATATATACTGTTATTGTAATAGGTGAGTACTACAATATGGGATTATATTTTATACAATGGAGTTTGCCTCGAGCCAGCGTCGAATCGACAGCAGCGCGATTGTGAAATATCTATAACGGTCATCAAGTCGTGGCGGCACAACCAATGTCATTCAAATATTGTGCCGATATCGGTTTGTCGCTGCCGACACATATCCGCTGCTGACAGCTATGTCCCCGCTATTTACCATTACTCACGGTCAATTCTTGTTTGCTGATAAAAATCTTCTTCACGGATCCGATTAGTCTCTCCCAATAGCCGGAATCATCGATGATATGAAGTGCCACTGTATTTCTGTGTAGACTCGATTGGCATCATTTTCGTATCCTCAGAAGTTGGTACCATCATCTGAATGGGTCCACGTTGAGATATCAGTCTCCAAATTGCCATAATCGCACTATATCGGTGGTAAGTACCCACTGGGCAGAAAATCATGCCAGTTTCATCACAATCTTGTAACCTTGATTACATGTTACATAATGATATAGAGCTCAATGAAGTAACCAGTTTCTCCCAGTAACGTTGAATGTCCTTCAACACAACAAAAGCGTTTTCACGTTACACAAAGTTCATCGTATTAAGGTAACCTTTGTGATCGAATTAGCATTACATTAACGTAATTCAAGTGAACAAAAACATTCGTTTTGTCGACTTTTGTAATGAATTTTTCACAACTATTCTGACGTCATTGTTTCATATCTTTGTAGTCATATTTTTAACTAATTTTCCCTTGGCGTTTCCCTAGTACTTTTACAAACTTCAGTAATCAGCCTAAATTATCAAAATAGGAATAAAACAGTATTGTAATATTTCATCTTCACTTTGATGAGTGAAACTTATTGCTGGAATTTGAGAAAGTATTAGGAAAGATCCTGTGAAAACATGAACATCAAATCATTGAGTTGTATAGTATTCCCAATAGCAGATTTGATCTCATCATGAAATAACATTCTATCATATTGAAATATGAACTATAAACACAATAATGTCCTCAGGACGTCGGGGGCGAACCTGACGACGTCCCTAGACCGCCCTCCTGTTACCGTTCTCTTCATCCTAATAACGTCTTAGAACATCCCTATAAGGTCTTCTGGGACATGTATAGGACGTTATGGGAACATCTTTAGGTCTTTAGGTGAAGCTCAATTTACTGAAAGTTCAAGCCTGCATACAATTTCCGGGAATAAAAATCATTTTTGAAATTCACATTTTTTGCAACAATTTAATAATTTGACCTGTTATCTTTTTCCGTCCGACGAACCGTTTTTGCGTGAAGAAAATAAAAACACTTGTCATGCATTTGTGGCATAACGAAATTATTTTGAACTAGTAGGCTGATGCCCTATTTTTCATTTGAAATGATGACATTTGATCGATTACGTAGCGGTCTCATTTCGACAAGTATTCATAATTGTGACAGTTTTTTACATTGTGAAAGTTTCTTTAATCAATAAAGCGAAAATAAAATGTTGACACCCTATAGTTCGAAAGTTAAGAGGTTTAGGGAATATGTTCATGTGAATTTTTCTTCTTAAAATGAGTTTTAAGTATAGTATAGAGTATATTTTCATCTATGAATTGAATTACACCACGTATAGATCGCATTAACTCATGGAGGTATACATATATCCTGTATGAATTATAAAATACCTAACGACTGTAAATATCTCCTACATGTTTGTAAGAACATGTGACCAGATATATTTCGACCTATTCGAAATGCTGATTCAATCTTCAAGAATATTCAAAATATTGCCCTGGTTCTACTATGATTTTCGGAAATTCTTCAAAAGATTTACTTTTTTATTGCGAGTACCGGCTTATCAAAAATATACACCTTTTGCATTTATAGTTCAACGTATATTTTTTCATGAAACACCCTACTTTTTTCTCATTATGAGAACGCTGTCTCTCTCTTTTTTGTGAATGTATAAAATTCATGTATATCCTGCAAAATTATTGGAATTATAACCTCATAAATAAGAGCTAATTTTTTTACAGGGTACCTGGTATGACGATAGCCACAGATATAATATGCGGATTTCCCACAGAAACAGAGAAAGATTTTGAGGAAACACTCAGTTTATGCAAGAAGTACAAGTTCCCTAGCTTATTCATCAACCAATTTTTTCCAAGACCCGGCACACCTGCTGCATTAATGCCCAAAGTTCCTACACAAGAAGTGAAGAAGAGAACTAAAATGCTTACTGAACTTTTCCATTCTTACCAACCTTATGACCATAAATTAGGTGATGTACATGAGGTGCTCGCTACTGAAATATCTCATGATAAGAAGCACTATGTAGCTCATAATGAGTATTATCAACAAGTTTTGATTCCCATGAGAGAAGAATATATGGGTAAACTGATAAAAGTGAAAATTATCAGCGCTACAAAGTTTTGCATGATTGGAGAACCATTGGATGAAATTAGAATGCCTGGATTGAACCACTTCCTTGAAAAAGGAAAAGTTTCTGGTAACAATCAACTGAGAGAAGATAAGTTCGATAAGAAAGTTATTTTTGGGCTGGGGCTGTTGTTTATATCTGTTGTTCTTAGGATATTTTGGATGTTCGGATAGTGAAATATTTATTTCATTCAATGAATTTGAATTGAAATGCATTGCTCCTAGCAAAAAATACGGTCACATACAATATACAAATAAGTAAATCCAAGCAATAGTGATTGAAATCATCTTCTCCATATAAGTTAGAAATATTGTGCACAAATCCATCCAGTTTTTCTTTTTTTCTTCAATGAGTGCCCATTCATGTTACCATGCTATACACCTATGCCGGTGAATACATTTCACCCAACCTAAAGGGTTTAACGCTCTGGTATTCCAATAATTTCAAGATGTATGGCGTTGGGTTTCGTTGGTTTAACGTTACAGCTTTACTATATTTCGTTTTCAAACCTATTGTACCAGCCAGCTGTGTTACGCTACTTCGCTGCAGTTTTACGAGTTTGACGAGGCGATAGTCGACCAGAAAATCTGGGACAATGCCTATTTCAGTAACTCTCATAATATATCTAGATTTTTACTCTCGTAAAGCAGTATATTTTACGAGCATGAAGTTTAGTAAAATATTCCTCCATTGTTGAGACTTGAAACATTACTCTTGTATATGTATTATTCGCTAATCAAAATAATATATGGAATACCGACACTTACTACGTGTTTTTGTGAAAGAATGGGTCAATCTCTGAATGCAAAATTCATCAACCGAGATAATTATAATAATAATGATAACAATAATAATAATGATAATAATAATAATAATAATAATAATAATGTGTCTTTATTTTCCATTCATGAACATAATGCATAAGAGTATTATAAGGAGGAGGCGGCATTCAACAAGGTTGCTCTTCCATACAATTCCCTAAGTTTCCACCAAGTTGAAAGACTATTCTCAATTACTTCAAAAAGAATGAATAACCTATTATTGAAATATACTATACGTACACATAGGGCACTAATTAAATATAAGAGCTAAATAAATCAATCAATAATGATATCAAAAAGGAAAGAAATATGTGTTTTCATATTCAACATATATAAGCTAATTTATTCTAATGAAGCAAGACACAAAAACAAGAAATGATAATACTTGGCCGTTTGCTGACAGAGTTTACAGGTCAGCCTCAATATGTATCTGCTTCTTGGTGTCGCCTTGTTTGATAAAGATTCTTCCTGACGATGCCCATGTGTTTCTGGTACCAAACTTGTGCTCCGCTTTAGGAAGAAATTTGTACTGTGACTTGCACAGGTCTTCATATATTGAAATCGTTGCGTCCTTCAGTTTAGGATTTGTGATGGATTTATTATAAGGATTATTAGTACAGTTTAAAAACCTATTTGTATAGTTGTCTATCCCATTTGAAGATAAGATTTATTTAAGAGGTAATTTACAGCGAATGTGTTTCCTATGGAAAAAGTAGCACAATCAACACACGATAGAATTACATTTTGAAATATATTTGTTACGTTATGCTTCAGCATGACAGAGACATGTAATCGTTTTCTAAAATACAATAAACTAAAAATATAAAAACTGGATAATTCCCATAAACCTGGCATTATCAAATTCATGGAGTTGAAGTACTTATCAAGCAAAAATTGTTTTTTCTGCAACCGACACAAAAGTCGTCCATTTTGATACCAAAATTAGCTCTTAAATTGACGTTTCTATTACTGACACAAAAATTGGTATGTTGCTAGGCAACATATTCAGTTCCTAGGAGCTAAAGTTGAATTTCAGCTCCTAGGAACCAAAAAAAATGTACTAGACGTCTTCAAGATTAAACAACATTGTGACGGTTGGTTATTTGGGTTGAGACGCGTACCTGATTTGTTTCCGATTTCAGCAGATTTGGCATTTCATACCCATGCTGGAGATATAAATACACCTTATTATAGTTTAGTATTGGAATTATAAACATCTCAGTTAAGTATTTTTGTTTTGATCAAGGAAGCCTTCAAGATTCAAATACTTGCTTGATCTGTATTTCATTCGTTATTTTCGAGATGGATAACTTGTTTTTGAATAATCACGGCAAGCAATAGTTTTTTTGTCACAAACAACGATATAGTTTAGCTTCATTTGATTATCAAGTCAAACACAGTGACTAGTATTTAGCTCATAATAGGTTTGAAAAATGAACTGTATAAACTGAAGGAAATGTTCAACTTTGCAGTCACTAAACGACTTACCCGGAGTAGAAGTAAGTGTGAAGAGCGGCACAATAATCCGGGACTGGCTGTTCTCAGGGCCCTTGGATGCCAGCGAATGGGCTTTTGGAAGTAGGGAACCGTCACAATTACATGAGTAGATGCACTTTCCCGTGGAATGATAGCGGTGAATTTGGATTCACGAAATAATCGGTCAATCAGCGAATTTGACCTATATGCGGTAAAAGTAGTACTGAATAAAAATTGTCCCGGTACTCACTTGGCCGAGCACACCGGTAGCTTCGCATCGGCGCAGGGTCGCCCAGTGACTTTTTTTTTGAAAATAAATACATATACAGTTTGTTTTGATATTATTGATTGGAGATAGGCAAATACCAAACATTTTCCCCCGCCAAAAGGCACATTCTCGAAAAGTGTCTTTTACTGAAGAGAAAAAAAAATAAACAGAAATAAATCAAATGAAATTGAGTGAATATTAACCCAGCAAGAAGTATACAAAAAAAAACCCAGCGTATTATATATTATTATGTAAACCACTATATGATTTATTTTATATTACTTATTTATATATAGGGATATTATATATATTTTATTATTATATATATATAATTATATATATATATAATTATATATTCAAGAAACAGAAAATGAAATAGAAAGAAAAAAAATACTCTACTGGCAATTGGAATTAAGGTATATACCAATATACACAATAAATTATGTGACCGGTAACGGACACAATTTAACTAGAGGACGCTGGACAACTCCACTAGTTGTTTTAACCGTGGCGACGCGCGCGATCCCGTCTACCCCAGGATGTAGCGTAAGAATGCGTCCCAAGTTCCATTGCATTGGGGGGTTATTGTCATGTTTTATTACTACAAGGGCGCCCGGAGTAATGGTACGTTCAGAATTCAACCACTTTTCCCTTTGTTGGAGTGTGTGTAAATACTCTGATTTCCATCTTTTCCAAAAGTCCTGGTGTAGTCTTTGGAGCAATTGCCACCGAGTCAAACGGTTAAGAGGGATGTCTGTTAAATTGTGTTCGGGAACAGCGCTTAGAACTTCCATTGTTAAAAAATGACCAGGGGTCAGAGCGGAAACATCATTGGGATCCGAGCTAGTCTGCGTTAACGGCCTTGAATTCAAGATAGCTTCCACTTGTACTAAGAATGTATAAAATTCTTCATAATTCAAGATCTGACTACCAATAACGCGTTGAATGTGTGATTTGACTGCCTTAATGCCTGCCTCCCATAGCCCTCCCATGTGTGGACTATTTCCAGGCAGGACATGAAACTCAATGATTTCGGTGCTTGCAACAGATTGCATAATATCGGTTAATTGGCGATAAGCACCCATGAAATTCGTACCTCTATCGGAATAGAGGTGGGAACAGCGACCGCGACGAGCTACAAACCGACGGAAAGAGGCGAGGAAAGCTTCACTAGTGAGATCGGAAGCTAATTCTAAATGAATGGCTTTAGTGGCCATGCAAATAAATAAACAAATGTATGCTTTCTGAGTCCTACATCCTCGATAACGGCTCATCGTTATGAGGAAAGGACCACCATAGTCAACGCCGACATGCGAAAACGGCTTTACTTGTGAGATTCTCGGAATAGGTAGGTTTCCCATAGGAGGTTGAAGAGGCGAGGGTGAAGTTTTCCAACATTTCAGACACCTCGACAAAATGGAACGAATGGCGCGGCGAGACGATAAAATCCAATACTGCTGAGATAAAAGAAATTGTACTGTGCGTAAACCAGCGTGTAGGTATTTTCTATGAAAGTAATCAATCAATAAATCCGTAAATGTACTCTTACGAGGTAACAAAATGGGGTGTTTTTTATCATAGGACATAGAAGAATACGCCAGACGTCCTCCAACACGTAAAATCCCCTCAGAATCTATAAAGGCGCTGAGTTTTCTGAGTGGCTTAGAAAATGTTTTTGCTTCGAATTCATCAGTAAATGAGAGGATCTGTGTGCGTTTAATTATTAATTTAAGAGCATAATCGAGTTCGTTAAAACTGAGGGTACCCGAGCGTTTTTTGTTCCTACAATTATCAATGAAGCGCAAAACATACGTTAAAATGCGTTGAATTTTCATGAGAGAAGAAAATTGGTTCACTAATTTGTCGATCAAATTCGTTTCAGTAATATTTATAAATACTTTTCGGCGTTCCTCCTCATGCGTGATACAATCCTGAAGAGGAAAGGAAATGTCCGAAATTTCGTTGGACGAAAATAAAAAAGGCGGGCCGTGAAACCAAAGCTTGTTTTCTATTATTTCAGAAGGAAATATACCCCGTGAGGCTGAATCGGCGGGATTGAGTTCAGATTTTACGTGAAACCACAAATTTTTTGAAATTCTATCGTGAATGAAGGCGACTCTATTTGCCACAAATGTAGTCCGCTGAGAGGGTTCACCATTTATCCAAGCTAAAACTATCTTTGAATCGGAATATGCGTAAACACGACTAAAATTTAACTTTCCCTCGTATACGTGAATCACCCAAGTCATCAATTTACTGAGAAGCACGGCAGCACATAATTCCAGCCGAGGGATAGTGATCGGCTTGGTAGGGGCGACTTTGGACTTTCCGCAAACGAAAAAAGTAGAATAGCAACCTGACTGACAAATGCGAAAATATATAACGACTCCGTAGCCTTTTTCGGAGGCATCAGCAAAGCCGTGAAGTTCTATAAAATCATAATTATCACAAACAATTCGACGAGGGATGAGGATACAAGAAAGCGACTTCAAATCGGACTTATATTTAGACCACGCTCGAATGAATTCGTTGTTGGGGGTTTCATCCCAATCTAATCCAAGAAGCCATAGTTTTTGTAGAAGATGTTTCGTGTAAAATGTAATAGGTGTGAGAAATCCAACGGGATCAAAGACGCGGGAGATCTCCGATAAAATATTTCGTTTTGTACACGGGCGGTCTAGGACATTAACTTTGAAGAAAAAACAATCATCGATGGGGTTCCAATGTAACCCTAAAATTTTTAAGGAAACATCTGAGTCTTGTTCAAATGATAAAGGGTCAAGTGAAAGATGCGAGGAAGGAAAATTACTCAACAAAGTGGGTTCATTGCTGGACCACTTTCTGAGTTCGAATCCACCTTGAGCTAATAGCGCGATTAGCTCATCGCGCACATTCTCGGCTTCAATAAGAGAAGAGCTTCCTGAGCAGATGTCATCGATATAGGTATCATTTCTCAGAATCGCGCATGCGCGTGGAAATGCAGATTCTTCTTCAGCAGCGAGTTGAAGAAGAGTACGTATGGCGAGATATGGACTACTGGAAATTCCGAAACTTACTGTCAATAATCTATAATCCTGAAGGCGATCGTTAGGTGAGAATCTGAAAATAATGCGTTGGTAGTCACATTGATGAGGGCAAACAAGAATTTGGCGATACATTTGCCGAATGTCTGCCGTAAAACAAATTTTATGTAACCTAAAATTTAAGAGAATAGTTAACAAATCATTTTGAAGTTTGGGACCTACATATAAACAATCATTGAGAGAAAATTCGCCGGGAAGCTTTGCGGAAGCGTTGAAAACGACCCTCAATTTTGTACTGAGACTTTCGGGCTTCAAGACACAATGGTGAGGTATGTAATAACTTGTAGGGGGAATATCAGCGCTGGAGATTAATTCCATATGTCCCAACTCTAAATATTCCTGCATGATTTTACAGTAATCGTAATACAAACTTGGATTTTTCAAGAGGCGACGTTCCACGGCAAGAAATCGTTTTATTGCTAATTCTCTAATTCCCGGAAATACTGGACAAGACTGATCACGAAAGGGTAAAGGCACTATAAACCGTCCGCTATCAGTGCGATGAAAATTTTCACGAAAAATTTGTTCACATTTCTGATCATCGATACATATTGTGTTCACTTCTGGAACATTCTCTATTTCAAAAAATGATTTCATCGTGTTTTCTAAAGAAAAGGCGTTTGCGGCGTTACAAAAAAAAGAATTGATTTTTGGATGATTAGTGGTTTGTATTCGTCCCAATAATACGTATCCAAAAATGGTTTCCAATGCGTCTGGTTCACCAGTTCTACCATAGATGCGACCGTCTAAGAGTATCTGAGAAAATATATCAGCTCCGAGTAAAATGTCTATCTCCTCGGAATAATTGAATCGGGGGTCAGCCAAATTTAAAGAAGATAAATGAGTCCACGAATCAATATTGAAAGATGTGGATGGCAAGCGATTACAAATATTAGCTATAATAAGGGCGTCTAAAAGAATAACTGGAGTTGGTTTGCCGACGGGTTTGATATACAGGGTGACCCCGCCAGTATTTACC